ATAATCAGTATTTCCAGTTCATTTTAATATATTTTATAGTAATTACTCCAAAAATAACATATCGATTTCACGTCCAGTAATCATTTCAAACAAATAGTTCTGATTAATAATATGAAAACTCCAGTGTGTCCTGTTTCCGGAGTAACAGTGTGATGATTCTCATGCACTAACACAGAGAGCACTGTCCTGCACACTTCTCCACACCATCTGAAAAAGTGCAATTCTCTCCACTTCACTCACACTTTACTAGACAAAGTGGCCATTCATTTCCTGCAAATGTTTTGACGACCAGCTGAGCCCAGGCAGCTCTGTGCAGATATATTAAATACACAGTCTCCCACAGAAAAGGGAATAAAATAGTGTGCAATTTTCAAGTAGCAAAAGTAAATGACTCTAATTTGCCCCTTCGCCTTACCTTATCGGGTTACAGATGGGGCAGTAAGATCTCTGATTTTGGAGCACTTTTATTTCATTCTGTGATTCTCTCGACAGCAGTCTGTAAAGTGCAGATGGAGAAGAGAATTATCGGGCAGATTTTGGAGATTTGTGACTGAGCTCAAACCTGTGTCCTCAATGAGTCAGCTGTGGCTGGACTACAGTGCATAAATTAACCATATTGCCTTTCTGTCAAATCGTGGGCTAACGTTCAATGCACTTTTTTTTCTTTTTTTTTTTTAAACAAAGCAGTTTAACACATAATTATTTTATCATTGTTCCCTTGGCGTCCTTTAAAGGTGTGATGTTTAACTTTTGTGGTGGAGTGTCCATCAAATGGTTTTCTTCGTGGAGACGTTATTGAATCTGTGTATCATTTGTTCATTTGTTTTTCAAGGTAAAACCAAAAATAAGAAAAAAAAACAAAAACAAAAACAAAAAAAACAACTATTTTCCTCTTTATTTGTCTCCTAAACAGATAACAATTTGTTTTTTCAGTTTTTGATTTTGTGTTTAAATGAATACGGAAAAAACAGATAATGGCCATTTCCCATTTCTGTGACTTAAACTGAGATGATGGACTGAACCAGGACTAAACCAAGACAGAGACTGGGACTGAGATCGGGAACAGGACCAGGACTGAGACTGGGACCAGACTGAGACCAGACCAGGACCAGACTGGGACTGAGACCAGAACTGAGACCAGGACTGAGACCGGAAAAAGGATCAGAACTGAGACCGGGACTGAGACCGGGACCATCATCAGAACTGAGACCAGGACTGAGACCAGGAAAAGGATCAGAACTGAGACCAGGACTGAGACCGGGACCAGACCAAAACTGAGACCAGTTTAGTCCCAGTTTAATCTTGTTTAGTCCTGGTTCAGTCCTGGTTTAGTCCGAGTTCATTCTTGGCTCAGTCCGGCATCAAAGTTTAAGTCACGGAAATGGGAAACGGTCATTATCTGTTTTTTTTTTTTTCCATTTTTCATTTAAACACAAAATCGAAAACTGAAAAAACAAATCATTATCTGTTTTTTTCATTTGGTTTTGGAGACAAATAATGAAGAAAATAGTTGTTTTTACATTTTCTTATTTTTGGTTTCATATTGAAAAATTAATGAATGATACACAGATTTGATTGCTTTGTCTGGAATGATTCACAGTACAAAATTTTTCTATGTTCAAGGAGACCAAACCAGTTGCAGGTCAAATCTGAGAGAGGTGACCCCACTCACAGTCAGAATGCCTGCTTTTCTAGGTGCTTTTGTAGCTTAGAAATACACCTGCACCTGTAACTGAATAAATGTAAAGTAGACCTGTTTAATGTCATACTGTGGAACATTTCAGGCAGAGCAGTTACATAGAAACAAGCAGATGACCGACACCCAACCAACAAGTTACATAGTGCACCTTTAAAGTGAATATACCAGGTTTCCATGTTTAGTTAAGTAACAGCTGAGAAGAAGGAGTAAAAAAACAGGAAGTGGGAGTTCTAAATCAGCGTATCTATGTCTGTCATCAACATGAGAAAAATTCAAACCAAAATACAGGGACAATTTTTGCACAAGGAACACATTTTTTTGAGAAATCTAACATTTATACAACCAGTTATCACTAGGGAAATGTCTCAATCCTATTTTAAAATTCAGAAGTTAAAATCAAGTATATAACCAAATTTGGATGAAAGGTCAGTTTCTCACAATCCTTTTCTTATTATTTTATTTGCGTACTTGTTTCCATTCAAAACAATACATATTTGGGATTGTATATCAAAGATTAACAATTATATCAGTGTTGTCCATCATGAACCACTGATTTATATACCAAAAAGGTATTAACATTCATTTTTATTAGTCTAATCATAATTACTATGGACCAGAACTTGTTAACATTATGGCTGCTATGGCATATGTTATCTGCAGCCTGTGTTCAACCAGGAATTAAAATTACAAACTTTAAATTGTAAAATTATAAACTATAAAAAACTAAGAAAGATTTTTAGTGAAACCTTAAAGCTGCAGTAATGTTGCAGACAAAATTAGACTAAAATAAAAGCATATTGTTGTGTTTTTTTTGCCTGCAGTAGGGCTTCCACCTGCTTGTTTCCATGGAAATGTTGTTCCTCTGGCTATAATATTCCACAGTATGGCATAAAACCCTTCTGTCTCCATGGAGAAGTTGCAAAGTGGTCTTAACTTTCTATTTCCACGTCGTGCCACCTTAAGAAAGTTACTGTACCTTTGAATATAATCATGTTAAATGTGTTTTAGTGAAATGAACAGTCTAACCTGTCCATGATCTTTGAGGTTCTCTGCTGTCAACAGTTGAAGGCTAATGTAATGAAGGATCTATATAAAACTCTCCACTTAATCAGAAAGAGTTACTTAAGTTTCCTTCAGTTCAAAGAAAATGTCTGTGAAAAAGTCAGTGCAAATTAGGTGAAGAAGTTATCTGACAATTATTACTGACTTCTGAAAACGAAACCTTCAAACTGACTGTAATAAAAAAACAAACAAACAAAAAAAAACAACAAAAAAAAACAAAACACACACACATTTAAACAGACAAAAATTAAAATCTTGCCAAAGATATTTCTCTTAAAAAAACTTCAACTTTTGTATGATTTCACACAAGTGTAAAAAGTCAAAGTCATCTTTTAACTGTACTGCTATTTGTGTAACAGCACAAATCAGCCCACCTGTAATTCAAATTCTGTTCTTTCTGGTCAGATTAAATTGTTAATTGTTGGTCAGATTAGAAATGTTAAAATAAAGGTCAGATTAAAGTTTAACAAAGCCTCAGACAGAGCAGTGCTTACAGATTGCATCACATCCTCAGGGAATATTTATGACATCATTTGCAAAGTTTGAATAGAGAAATCCAGTTTTTGTCCCCATCTGAGACTAGGGCATCGTCACATTCTTAAACCTGAAAACTACCAATAGTGTGTCTATGATAGATTTGTGTGGTACTGCATGTAGTCAAGGACAAATCCCCTCTCAAGGATAATGAAATTGACTTCACCTTCCTTGCCAAAGCTAAACTATGCAAACGTCTATCATGAGAACACATTCTGAAGTATGATATATTGCTGAAGTATATATACACAATAGACAATAATATTGAAACTAATTTATGACACTGACACAAAAACCATAAAGTGATATTATACCCCACAAAACTATTCTAAATGTACAATTTTGTAGAATAAAACACTTGAGTTTGTGTCATAGATGTTATAAATTCAACCTTTTACAACTTAAATTATATATATAAAAAATAAATAAATAAATAAAATGGAGAGGCAACACAGCTCACAGTCAGAATGTAACGTGTAATTGAGCAGTTTAATGACATGCTGTGGAACATTCCAGGCAGAGCAGTAATATATCCATAGAAACAAACAGGTGACCAGTGTTGGGAAGGTTAATTTTAAAATGTATTCCCCTACAGATTACAGATTACATATCCCAAAATGTAGTTTGTAACGGAATCCATTAAGTTACTTCAGGTGAGTAACGTAATCTGAATACTTTGGATTACTTGATTTGCTGTAGAGAAGCAAAGACTAGGATATCGCAGCATAAGATGTTTTGTTTGCTAAAAGAAAGAAAAGAGTTTACTTAACCGTATTAAAAATATTATTGATAGAAGAGGAGGAGACACGTCCACGCAGCATGATTTAGTCCTGTTTTAGTCCTGGTTTAGTCTTGTTTTAGTCCTGGTTTAGTCCTGATTTAGTCCTGGTTTAGTCCTGGTTTAGTCTTGTTCTGATTTAGTCCTGGTTTAGTCCTGATTTAGTCTTGTTTTAGTCCTGATTTTACATCTGGTTTAGACCTGGTTTTAGTCCTGGTTTAGGCCTGGTTTAGACCTGGTTTAGACCTGGTTTAGACCCGGTTTAGACCTGGTTTAGACCTGGTTTAGATCTAGTTTAGACCTGGTTTAGTTTCCAGCAATGAGTGGAATTAAGGAAAAAAAAAAGGGGAGATATAGCCGAAAATGTGAAAATAGGAGAACAGGAAAATACCTTCATGTAATCCATTTATTTCAACAAAGTAACTGTAATCCAATTACCATTCATTGAAACAGTAACTGTAACCGAATACAGTTACTCATAATTTGTACTCTGATTACGTAACCCCGGTACATGTAATCTGTTACTCCCCAACACTGCAGGTGACAGACCCCCAACAAAAAGTTACATAGTGTACCTTTAAAGTAAATATAACAGGTTTTCATGGTTTCTCTAATCATAGTTTTATATCAGTTGAGTTTGTGGAAAAAAGTTAAGAAGAATGGGTACTAGTACAAGAACAGGAAGTAGAAGTTCTAAATCATCATCCAATATCGTGAACTAGAAAAAAAATTAATCCAAAATGCAGATTTAACATCTTAAATTGTATTATATAGTCCAAAAAATAACTATTAATTTCTCAGTAGTGCAAAGAAAATGTACACATCGTAAATACTGACCCCCCAAAAATACTGTTCCAGCTTTCATATAGTGAAGTTGATGTAGTATTTATCATAACAGGCCTAACTATGCTTTCTTATCTCCTGCAGGTACATAGCTATTGTCCATCCCACATCAGAACGCAGGACCATCCAGTGGACCATCATCATAAACCTGCTGGTGTGGGTGGGCAGCTTCCTCCTCACTGTCCCCGTCATGCTCTACGCCAAAGTGGAAAAACGTCAAACTATGGAGGTCTGTATGATGTACCTGGACGGGCCTGAAGATATGTACTGGTACACGCTCTACCAATCCTGGGCTTCATCATCCCCCTCATCATCATCAGCACCTTCTACTCGCTCACCTTGTATCATGTGTTCAGCTCCATACGCCGGGTCAAACGCAAGCAGTCGGTTTGGGCCAAAAGGGCCACCAAAATGGTTCTCATGGTCATTGCATTGTTTCTTATTTGCTGGTCGCCCTATCACGTGATTCAAGTGATCAATTTGAGCAACAACACCCCGACCATCGCCTTCATCTATGCCTATAACATAAGCATTTGTCTGAGCTATTCACACAGCTGTATCAATCCGCTTATGCTGCTGATTTTTGCTCAAAATTACCGTGAGCGACTCTGCAAAAGGAACGCCCTGCACAGCTCTCAGCATTCGTCCAAAGTCACAGTGGTTAAAACGGATGGATCGAGCACGGTGAATGACCCCAGTTATCGCTGCACAGTAATATGACTGCAACTGTGTATAAAGACTACATATTCAACAACTGCTCAATCAAACTATATTGGAAACCTCGGTGTACGCAACTGTGCACACAGGACATGCCATTTATATCTGATCTGGAAAAACTGAGGGAATTTTAACTTTTTATCGTCAAATGTTTATGCAGATTCAACAAACTTTATTGCTTGTGTACGAGGGACAATTCAATGATTCTTATTAGCAAGAAAATTAAACCATGCTGGTCAGTGTCTACTTGAAATCGTGATCTTTGTAAAAAAGGAGCATTTAAAGGTGCATTATGTAACTTTCTGGTGGGGAGTCTGCCACCTGCTTGTGTCCACTGAGATATTTTGGCTTTGTCTGGAACATTCCACAATATTGCATTAAGCTTCTTCCCTGCTTATCACCCTCGGCATGAGTTTAATGACATACTTTGGAACATTTCAGGCAAAGAAATAACATCTCCATGGAGGCAAACAGGTGTCAGACCCTCAGTAGTGCACCACAGTGGGTTTGAACAAAAATGTCTGTCAGATTATATTTTATTTGTTGAAGCACTTACGATTTGACAAATGGATCTGCTCAAAACCCAGGCTGAAATCTCCCAACTGATTTGATTGCGGTTAACTTAAGTCTCATGACATGTGGGTCAGGGAGGTTGGAGTAAGTGGGGCAAACAGGAGTAGATTGTGAATCATTGGCCTTGTCTGCTCTAGATTAACTGTCTATGCTTGTGCTGTGCCTATAAAGCTCCCACAGAGACCAACAACTGAAGTGGAAACCAAAATACCACGAAGGGTTACGCCATTAAGACTTATTTATACTCACTCACTATTTCTGTTCACTAAAGCTATTGTATCCAAATACTACAGGAAGTCAGTGTTATCATTTTGTATGAATTACTTTTGTTTTCACACCCTGGTTGGTGCAAAAATATAGATTTAAGGGCCAACATTTTCTAACTTTAGTGTTCCTAACACTAAAATGTGCCTCTGAATATGCAGTAATACAGAACATAGTAACCCTGCTTTTCTTATATCAGATGTCCAGTTTCCATTTTAAATTAGGCTTACATCAGACACAATTCTGCTATAGTCAGCGATGGGAAGAATACTTTGAAAATGTTCTTACTATTAGTAGTTACAGATTTCTTAATACCTGATTAATTAAAATGTATTTTGTAATGTACTTTGATACATGGTCCAAGCAGAGTATTGTATTCTGAATAATTAAACAGCATTTAAATTATAAAGACAAATAAATAAACAATATAACATTACAAACAGCCTTACATCACACATGGAATGGTGTTTAATATTTGACATATGACATGTATTTTTCCCACTAGTTATGTGCAGTTTCAAACCTAAATTGTGTGATTAAGTACCACAATGTATCCCTTTGATTTTAGGAAAGTAACTGAATACCACCAAATGAAAGAGTAACTGTACCAGAATACAGTTACTCAGAATTAGTATTCTGTTACTTGCCAACACTAGCTTGTGACAGCAGAACCCATAGTAAGTATAAAATCTAATATTGAAAAAAATACAGTTCGAGATATATATTTGTATTGCTTGATACACAGGACCACATTACATAAGGAAACAGTTTCTCATGCATATTTCCATGGACAATGAATTCAGAATGAGGGCAGTGTGTTTTTTTTCTAACCTGAAAACACTTTAATACACAAAGATGAATGAATTATTATTACAGATGCAGCAGGTTTGCTCTGACAAATTCATAGATTCATAGTTTTTACACATTTTGGTTTTAATTCATTATGAGAAGTGATAGTTTGGATGCACTGTCCAATGAGAGTAAATTTGATTATTGTAAAAAAAAAAACTTTTCAGCAGATGGTGTTTGTCCATGGTGATGGGTGTTTCTCAGAGCGCAGAGCTCCATGGAGCTCTTTTAGACACTTTTTCATTGCTTTGTTGCCATTGAGACAAGAGTCCATTAAACCACAGACAGACAAGAACAGGTCTGACCTCAGTAGACAGTGTTAACAACACCTTTCATCAGATGACATGAGGTGAAAACATGTGTCGAGAGAAATGTATTTTGTATTACTTTCAGGTGCAGTACATTTGCCTACCTGGTTGTCTCCATGGTTACTACCTGAATATTCCACAGTATGGCATTAAACTTAAATACTCTCATAGAGACAAACAGGTCTGATCTGTGGAGAGGTGATCCTGCTTTCACTAATAATGTTTTTCTCTCACTCTCTTGATTTTATTGAGAAAAACACTGGTAACCGAATAAATGAAAGGTAGAAACATATAAAGCTATACAGTGGAGCGTTTCAGGTAAAACAACAAGGCAGACAAGCAGGTGGCAGACCCCCTGAACTACAAAAGTTAATTAGGATATTTTTTCAAATCTTGAAAGCTGCAGAAATCATTAATTAACTATTAATTAATTATTTAAAACCACATTTTTTATATAATACAAACAACAGTGTGTAGGATAGGCTACAAAGCACACTGATATTGAGCTGTTTTCTTACAAATATTAATAAATGGCTTTGGGGGGTTATATTTACATTATGTATTGTTAAAGTGGTTATTAAGGGGGTTTCACTGTCTCACTGGAGCACTACATGTGATGTATTGTACTATGTATACTGTGTACTGAGTGTTGTGTTAATGGTCACTACAATGTAGAGCTTGTGCTTTCTCTCACTGTGTGGATATAAGAGTGTCCAAATGCGCAAACATGCCCAAAGTGTTTATGTCATTATTATTAAATTCTATGTGAGGTTTATAAGTGATGTTTTTAAAATGGTGGATCATTTCTGTGTAAACGAACACATTCAGTCTATGGGACCACATGCAGCAGTTACTTGGTTTTCAGACTAAGTTGATACACAGGAATTATTGCATTATTGCACAATGGAATTATTGCATTGATATGAAAACTTTAAAGTTACAACAACTTCAATTTTAAGCTTTAATTTAGTCCTGATTAGGTATATTTACTAGGCCAGGATTCCCCAGACTTTTACTTTTACAAAACATAAATGGGTACAATGAGATGCCTATCAGCATTAACTATGTATTAGTGTTAAAAGATGCACTATGTAACTTTTTGGTTGAGGTTCTGTCACCTGCTTGTTTCTATGGATATGTCATTGCTCTGTCTGGAATGTTCCAGTGTATGACATTAAACAGCTCTCTCTTAGATTTATTCAATTACAGGTAGCTTTATAGCTTGAAAATACGGCAGTCTACTAGCAGCGGGGTTGCCTCTCCACAGATCAGACTTGTAACTTGGTCTGGTTTGGTCTCCATGAAAATAGAAAGGTTTAATGCCATACTGTGAAACATTCCAGACAAAGCAATAACATCTCTATGGAAACAAACATTTAACAGACACTCAATGCACCTTTAAAGTTGGAAATCTAAAGTATAATTTTACAGTGACAATAGGAATTTCATACTTGGAATGGTATGGAGAGCTACAAGGTGAAGGAAGATTCTCCACTGGCCTATATGATCATTTGGTTCCTAATTCTTTGGTTAATGGTGTCAATAGCAAAACACAACTCCAGGTATGTTTTTGATGAGGTAACAACATCAAAACATATCAGAGATTTAAGTATGAGACAAAGGTGTCTTTAAAACGTGCCCTCTATTTGATGTATATTTCTGTGATGTTTGAGATAAAGGATTTGACAGTGATCTATTTGTATTATTCAGCCTGACTTAACCCACCGCTTTAACATCCTGGCTGCATTTCAGATTTGAATAAGCAGTTGAGGCAGTGGTGATGGCAAAAATTTATCAAGTTTCCCCTTTGACATATCAACCAAAAAATGTGCCTGCAGTATTCAGATCATGTTTGTGAGTGAATAATACCATTCATTTATCAGGTTCTGCCTAAAAATAAAAAAACACGGGAATTTTGTTGGTGAGCATTGACTATGAAAGAAGGGCCTTTTCTTCATCTTCCTCATCTTGTTACAGAGAATAAGATAACTCAATCACCACAGGTCTCATGCATGTGTCCAAACCATGGCCTTCAAACTAGTTTAATTTAGATAGTGCAGCCAAGGATAAACAAAACAAAACAGTGGATTGGAAAAAAGATCTTACTACATTTTTCTGCAAATCAGGTTAACAGTTTAATTCATGCTGTTTGTTTTTGGTGGATGTTTCATTTGGAAAGCTTAATTGACTTGGATCTAAGGTGTCTCCAATATTTGAGCTTGTATTGTTTTCAGCCTTTAATTCAGACCACTACAAAAGCCAGGACACATTTTCATTGACTTGTTTTGCTTATTTAGAGCAGTGGTGAAAGAAGTACTTATTTTTGTTACTTAAGTAAAAGTACACATGCTCGAAAAAATAAAAAATAAAAAAAAACTCAAGTAAAAGTAAGCATATGACATGAAAAGATTACCCATACCCCCAAAAATGTGCACTTAAAGAATAATAAGTTAAAGTATTTCATGCAAAATTTGAGATCAAATAAAATGTCAAATGTAGAAATGTTTAGTAGAAACAATTGAGTCAATTGTTTTTATTTGTATATATTAGTTTGCTGAAACTATGAATATGGTAAACAATACAGACAATAATACAAAAAAAAAAAAACTTTTACTTTTCAGTCTTGTTCAAAATTGTAGTGGAAAGTAGAAAGTACCAATACCTGGTCTCAAATGTAATGAAGTAAAAGTAAAAAGTATCCATTTTAAAAAGCAAAGAAAAGTAAAGTAAAGTAAAATAAAGTAAAGTACAGTACAGATATGTAAATATTTTACATAAGTACAGTACTATTCTACTTTTCACTTTTACTCATTAGTTGTTAATGCAGATAGGAAATAGAACTAGAAAGTGTGACCAAAATTTGTGCTTTCATCAAAAACTAGTTAGTTAAAGGTGCACATAACTTTTCTAGGCAAAGAAATAACATCTCCATGGAGACAAGCAAATGTCAGAGATCCACAAAGATTCACACACGTTTAAGAATCAACAATTTATTATTATACAGGATGT